GGGTGTGTGGGTGGGTGTGGGTGGGTCCCAGCTGGCGCCATACGTCTACAGCCAGACTGGAGCCAAAGGACCAGGATAGACAGGCATGGGCTCCTGATCCGCCCAGGAAGAGTCTCGGCGCTACAGCCCTCTTCGGGAAGAGCTGGAGAGATGTGAGAACATCCATCTCTGTCGCTCTGGAGATTGCGGTCAACCTGGTGCTCTTCATTGCACGGCTTACGCCGCAGTTGATGCCGAAGCTTTGGTTGATTTGGGTGCCTACGGGAAATTTGGCGGATGGAGATGTCTAGTGCTTTGGTCACCGCCCTTTGCCGCTGTGGCTGCCTCCGCCTTACCCCCTCCAGAAGCATCGCAGAACAAGGAGTACTGAGGTCCTTGGACCCGGATTCTGAGTCTGAGGCGGAAGTCGCCCCAGATCCGTGCGAAGCGGTCCTCGCGTAGGCTTAGAGCTGCAGGGGAAGCCTCGAGCCCTTGCCCCTGATGGGTGTGAAGACCGGGCTGCCTCTGAACCCACCAGGCTCATGGCTGAAGACGTTCATTTGTCTGACCTGGGTGGGAGAGAGAGCGCGCGTCTTTGCAACCATCACAGCCAGTTGTATCTTCTTTCTTGCCAAGGTAGGAAGTGCAGCGTGGTTTCTTGTTTCGAAAAAATGCAAGGGGCTCACAAAGGTACTCCCCTCTGCAAACGCCATCTGGCTGATATGGGCCGCACTAGCAGCCCGGCCCCGAAAACGGGGGGCCCCGGGCCGAAGCCCGAAGAGCCGATCCTCAGCTCCATCCGATCTCATTCGGTCGACTCGCATCGCAACTTTGGTGACCGTGCTGTAAGGTTCCAGGATCTCACAGATCCCGTCTCCCCAAAGGGGGGCAACGAGTCAGCCGAATTCGAAGCTCCCACCCGAGCTGACGGCATCTGCCTGGTACCTCTTCATGGGAGTTGTGGAGGGGATCTCACCTGATAGCCGACGCAACGAAAGGGGTGTACTCCGTGTACCTTCTCTAGGCCTTCGAGTCAGTCTCCCATGGCATTGTTTGGGCGACCCGCCAGAGACCGACTCTGCAGGACGGTACCCGCGCAGCTGGCTCCAGGAGTTCCTCCACTCTGTCCCCAAAGACCTGGAAGAGAAAGGCGTGTCCACTCAGGCAACTCTGTTGGCCCCATCGTTCTCTTCCTGGGGGCATGAATGGGAAGGGCGAGGAGTAGCAGCTCAGGACGTTCCGCCCTACAACATCAGACCAGACTGCCTGCGCCAACTCACCAGCATGCCAGAGATGACCCTTCTTCCTCATGAAGATGGACGCGTCATGCGTGCAGAAGGCGAAGGTAACCAGCCTCGTCCAGAATTTGGTTCTCCTCCGAGGCCTCCTCCGGTACCTTCAGTGTGTACCGGGATGCTTGTCAGCAAACCAGCTGACGCTTCGGAAGCTGAGGTTGAGCCAACTCTCCTGCTGGATGCGTATCGAACCGCCAAGGAGCAAGTCTCCTCCAATGGAGAAGCCATAGCTATTCGGCCTTAGTCCTGAGAAAGTGCAACTCGGGTTACTAGACACGCTCTCTCACCCTGAAGCTCCTAATACTGGTATCACCAAGGAAGCCGACCCGTTAGATTGGGGCTCAAAGACGCTGGGGCAGCTTGGGGAGAACTTGGGCGTTCCGCCCCTCCCTCCCTCCACTACCCCCTGGACTCAGCCACCTCGCACAGGATTTGGTGGACCTCATGGTGACGCGCCTCGCAATCCCTTGCACCGGCCCCAACTCCAGGAGCCTCTAGTCTCTTTCCAAGGCCCGTCTCGAACCCCAACGAGTCTGAGAGAATTTTGGATCTCGGAATTAGAGGGACGGAAGCTATGAGTCTTGGGAGAGGCCTATTGAGGAAAGCAGGGGCGAACTTTGGGGATCTAGCTGCCACCTCTGACCCCGGATTGGCTACCGATAGAATAAGCCACGCCATCGATGGTCTGCGTAAGGCCCAGGATGAGGATAAGACCGGGACCAAAGGTCAACTGAGCGCCCTCAAGGAGGGAGAAAAGCTTGACGTTTTTCTCGCCAGGGGTTGTGGCCAGCTCTCCATTGAGCTTTGCAAGGGGGTATACGGCAAGGAGCTGTTCCACAGCATCAAACGCGCAGGGCATCACGCCAAGCACTCCCTAGGGCTTATCAAGTGGCCGGTGCTCATTACCAATCGGGTGGCTCTCTCCATTGCGGGCCTCTGGTGGGGTGGATCGGAAAGCTTCACTCTTCTCGCCGCTGATTGCGTTACCGCACGTACCGAGCAAGTCGAAGCCTGGGGACCGCCGACCGAGCACAAGATCGAGGCCCGGGCAAAATCTCCCTCTACGTTCCTGAGCTGGCTTCGATACGCCGAAAACGCCGTGAGAGTTTTTGGCATTGGCAGTGCCTACGGTCTTGAGCATGTCCAAGAACGGATGAAGTTCTTGAAGGCCTTGCAGGAAGCACACGAGGAAGATGAGCACGCTTTTCCTTTCAAATACTGCATGGACCTCTACGAGGAGCTCTCAGCAGTTTGGTGTGAGGAAATCCGTGAAAGGAGGAGGCAGCTATGCGCCAAACTGGGAACGGAGAACCCCAGGCTTGAAGACCTGAAGCTCCTTGCTCTTGCACCGGGACCCGACGGGAGTCCTAAATTCCAATTCCCCCGGGTGTGGGACCTGAGTGATCCCTCTGGGTACTATCAGCGTGTGATCTTGCCGCGTCAGGACCGGGCCATGGCAAGGTTGCTGAACAAGCAGCTGCATGACCATGTCACTCGGGATCGTCGACCCGATAACCGGACGACCGCGGGTCCCGAGGAGCGCGAGGGAGCGACCGGCGTACCGCCCGACACCGACGAAGGGAAGTCTGGGCGAGCGCCTCGCCTAGCCCTCCCGGCCGAGGACCAGAAGACAGGAGTGGCAGGAGGTGCTGGCGAAAAGGCCTACCCGGCTGGGAAGCGTCTCACACCCACTGAGGTGAAAAGATCCATTACCCATGCACCAGTTTGTCAGAAGTCCAAGAAGCCCATCTGTTGGGACGCAGCCTGTCACATTGGATGTCAGCGCGCTGATTGTCCCCATGCTCATGAGCCTCTGCCCGCCATGAATAAGCTTGACTACTCGGTCGCGATGCAGGTGCTCCGGAGAGGGGGATTGAAGAATGGTGCGAAGATCAACCCGAAGGATGTTGATGGGAGAGTCGCCCAGCTGAGGTCTCAGGCTAAGGAGGATCACGACTCCAAAGTAGAACCGGGTGCCACCGCCCAAGGGAAGGCCAAGCCCAAAGCCAAGGCTAAGGCCAAGGAAAAGGCGGGGTGGGCAGTTCCAGATGATGACCAAGGACCGGTGAACCATCTCGAAGAAGAACTTGGTGACCTTGCTCAAGGCCCCGACCACTCTCGGCATGACTCATTTCGGAAGGATGCCGAGCCGGTCAGCTCACCAGGCAGGTGAAAGCTGAAGGACTGCTTGATCCGTTGGTTCAGCGACCACCTAAAGTCACACGTTTCTTCCCACCTTGTCAATTCAAGGGTTCAACAGAAGCACGTAACCGTGGAACAGACTCTGGTGAATGCGGTGGATTACGGACATCCCCAGCTCTCCGAGGAGGCCCAGAATTGTCTTGATAAGATGGGGCACAAGGCTTGTGATCACCGATTCCCTAATAAGACAGAAAATCTAAAGGCAAGATATAAATGGAAATAAAATCGATGAAAAATCAAAATAAAATCAAAATAAAATCGAAATCGAAATAAAATCGATGAAAAATCAAAACAAAATCAAAATAAAACCAAAATAAAATCGAACTGAAACCGAATGATTTTGTTCATATTGCCGACTGTCCAAAGCATCTGGAAACTGAGGGCAACAAATATCTTTGTGTTTATCAGCCATAGCGGCAGATCCAGCTCTTCGAAAACACCACCACCGCCCAGCTATGCCGCAACACCAGGAAACGAACAAGTTTCGGCAGCTTAAGTGGCAAATTCGATTTTTG